ATCCCAGAAATCCCTGATTTTTGGAGAGTGGATGGGAGGAGTCCCGGATCTGAAATCCTGGATTTTGGGAAGGGGACCCTGAATCCCAAATCCCCAGTTTTGGGAATCCCCAACCCGTAAATCCCCGATTTTTGGGAAGGGGAATCCCAAATCCCTGAATCCGTAAATCCCCGATTTTTGGGAAGGGAATCCCAAACCCCGCACCCCAAATCCCCGATTTTGGGGAGAGAATCCCAAATCCCGCACACATAAATCCCGATTTTTGGGAAGGGGAATCCCAAATCCCGATTTTTGGGGAGGGAATCCCAAACCCCGCACCCCAAATCCCGGATTTTTGGGGAGGGAATCCCAAACCCCGGATCCCGGATTTTTGGGGAGGGAATCCCAAACCCCAAATCCCGGATTTTTGGGGAGGGAATCCCAAACCCCGGATCCCCGATTTTTGGGGAGGGAATCCCAAACCCCAAATCCCGGATTTTTGGGGAGGGAATCCCAAAGCCCGCACCCCAAATCCCGGATTTTTGGGGAGGGAATCCCAAACCCCGGATCCCCGATTTTTGGGGAGGGAATCCCAAATCCCGGATCCCCGGTTTTTGGGGAGGGAATCCCAAACCCCGCACCCCAAATCCCGATTTTTGGGAAGGAGAATCCCAAACCCCGCACCCCAAATCCCGGATTTTTGGGGAGGGAATCCCGCACCCCGGATCCCGGATTTTTGGGGAGGGAATCCCAAACCCCGCACCCCAAATCCCGGATTTTTGGGGAGGGAATCCCAAACCCCGGATCCCCGGGTTTTGGGGAGGGAATCCCAAACCCCGCACCCCAAATCCCGGATTTTTGGGAAGGGGAATCCCAAACCCCGCACCCCAAATCCCGATTTTTGGGGAGGGAATCCCAAACCCCGGATCCCCGATTTTTGGGGAGGGAATCCCAAAGCCCGCACCCCAAATCCCGGATTTTTGGGGAGGGAATCCCAAACCCCAAATCCCGGATTTTTGGGGAGAGAATCCCAAACCCCGGATCCCCGGTTTTTGGGGAGGGAATCCCAAACCCCGGATCCCCGATTTTTGGGGAGGGAATCCCAAACCCCGGATCCCCGGTTTTTGGGGAGGGAATCCCAAACCCCGCACCCCAAATCCCGGATTTTTGGGGAGGGGAATGCCAAATCCCAGACCTGTAAATCCCCGATTTTTGGGGAGGGGAATGCCAAATCCCAGACCTGTAAATCCCCGGTTTTTGGGAAGGGGAATCCCAACCCCCGCCCCCCAAATCCCGGTTCTGGCCCGCCCGTGCCGTACTTGCGCTGCAGCGTGGTGGCCGGGCTGGTGCTGCCGCTGCTGCTGCGCCCGCCGGGGCTGGAGCTGCGGGAGGGGCCGCGGCTCAGCGGCCCCCGCGCCCACTCCCGCTCCCAGCAGCTCCCGTAGTGCCCGTCCCGGGCCCGGAACGGCCCCTCCCGTTCCAACCGGGCCGGGTACGGCCCCTCCTGCTCCAGCCGGGCCGGGTACTGCCCGTCCCGCTCCGGGTATTGCCCGTCCCGCTCCGGGTACGGCCCCTCGCGGTCCANTCCATCCTGCCGGGATATTGCCCGTCCCGCTCCATCCTGCCGGGATATTGCCCGTCCCGCTCCATCCTGGCCGGGTACTGCCCGTCCCGCTCCATCCTGGCCGGGTACTGCCCGTCCCGCTCCATCCTGGCCGGGTACTGCCCGTCCCGCTCCAGGTGCGGCTGGTACTGGAGGTCCCGCTCCAGGCAGCCGTGGAACTGCCCCTCCTGCTCCATGCGGGCCGCGTAGGGCCCGTCCCGCTCGGCTCGGCTCAGGTAGGCTCTGTCCCGTTCCTTTCGGCCCGGGTAGGGCCGGTCGTGCTCGGCCCGGCCGCCGTAGGGTCCGTCGCGCTCGGTCAAAGGCTCGAAGGGCGCGTCCCGCTCCAGGTGCGCGGGGTAGGGCCGCTCCCGCTCCAGGGGCTCCCCGTAGGCGCCGTCGTGCTCCAGGTGCTCGGGGTAGGTCCCGTCGCGCTCCAGGTGAGGCGGAAACGGCGGCTCGGGGTCGCCGTGGGCCGGGAAGGGCAGCTCGGGCTCCCCGTAAAGGCCCTCGGCCTCCAGGTGGTTCTGGTACTGAGCCTCGGGCTCCGCGTGGCCCTGCGGACACGGCGGAAAGGGGACACGGCGGTGGCACCGCGGGCCGGGCACGGGTGGGGCTGGGTCGGGGTGGGACC